AAAAATAAAGAAAAATTAAATTTTAAATATAATGATTTACAAAATATCAGAAAAACCAGACTGAAATATTTAAAAATATATTACAACATCTTATCATTGAAATATTGCAAGATAAAAAATATATTAATAAAAAAATAAAATTTGATACTAATTTCCCAAACGATCTTTTGTTAAAATTAGAAAATGAAAAACAAACAAAATTAAGTCAAAGCATTAAAATATTGGAAAATATTAAGATTTTAATCACTAAAACACGTATTCTATCTGATTTAGAACCAAATAACACAGTCTACAAAAAAATTGAATATAAAGATTCATGTTTAAGCAAAAAAAATAAAAAATTACTTCATCAACTTTGAACTGAACGATTAGAACATCTTTTGATATTTGTTAAATTAAACAAGGAAATCGAAAACCTAAAAGAATACGAGATTCCTGATTATAAAAATCTCGAAAGATTAAAATCAGACTTTCCAAATGACCTTAAACAAGAATTAAAAGAATCTCATCAAAAAAGACTCGATTTCTTGAAATATCTAAATGAAATCCAATTAAATAATGAATGGACAAGAAAAATTAAGAAAAAATTTGAAGATTACAAGAATAAATTTAATAACTTGTATGAAAATGATTCTAAAATTTTAACAAACCTAATCAACAAGAAATTGAAATTAATCGATCATTATATGTTGTATATTGAACGAATTAACAGAATCCTTACCTTGGAAGAATTAAATAAAATAAAAACAAATAAAATCGAATCAGATACAATTTTAACCCCAAATCAAAAATTAGCTTTTTATAATAAAAAAATACCCAGAAGAATTGGTGAAATTATTGATATTATTTACAATAAAGTTTTAAATGAAATCAATAACATCAAAAACCTTGAAGATTTTATCATCAATTCATATGGTCATGGTAAATTGACTGAAAATATTCTAGCATTGGGTAAAAATGAATATTTGTTAAAAGATAAAAAAATATCTCTGGACAAAATTGTTAATATATTTTTAGATAATTCAATCATCGTTTTAAACAAATTTTACAGTAAAACTAATTAACAAATTCAAATTAATTCATTAAAAGATGAACAAACAAGCATTGATACAAAAACATGTGGTGGAAAATTTTACCTAAGAAATTTTGAAATCCATTTGAATTTTGTTAAATTTAAATTAAATGATGAAAAAACTTTTGATAAAACATCATCATTTTACACTCAAGAAATAAAAGAATATATTAATAAAATCATATCCATACATGAAGAAAACAGTATCATGTATTACCAGGTTATTATAAATAAAATGAACGCTTCTACAAACAAAGAAGATTTTAAAGATTGGGGTGATTTTGATCAAAGTATTAAATATTTGGATGATAAATATTTAAAAGAAAAAAAACCTCAGATTTACAAGAAATCAGGAAAAAAAAATTACAAAATGTCTGAACCCGTCATTCCACCTATTATTCCAGAAGAAGATGATAGACTTCTGTATGAAAAGATAGAAATTACAGAAGACCGTGTTACAAGAATAAGAGAATGACTTATACAAAAACGAGATTATAGAGGCAAAGCTAATACTTTTGATACAATCATGGATGATTTTTGAGGTTTGATTAATGGACATAAATTTCAACAAGAAACTGATACTCACACTCTCGATCTTGTTAAAGAAATATGGGAATTGTATAAAATTAAAGATC